TTATTATATATATATATATATATATATATATATATATACACACACACACACACACACACACACACACACACACACAAACACAAATATAAAACTCATTGATGGATTTCACTGATTTTCCATAAAACTAATGGAAAATAAACAAAAAAAGGTCTACATAGATGTCCAGTGATATTTCATTTGTAAAAATTTTATTGTCTAATAGGCATAAAACTTGCTTGTAAATGCTATAAACATGATTTGGAAACAGTTTCTATTAATCATCGATGAAGTCAATTTCTGAAAAAATAATCCATTATTTGTTAATACTCTGAAAAATAAAATGCATTCATAAACACAAAGCTGTAAAAGCACATTTCAAACGCCAATAACTTTTTGATCCAAAATTCAACCCCAGTTAGGTATGATTGGAAACAACGGCACTTCATGATATTTTAATCTATACTGGTTCAAATAAAAGATGTTTGTGTATTTCAATGGTTTCAAAAAACTCACAGCAGCCAAGAAAAGGTTGCTTGAAAAATCGTAAATCTTTCTCTTTTTGAAACACTAATTTTTTTTATAAACACAGCTGTTGCTCAAATAAATGTCTGTCATTCAGTTCCTTGCTAAAAGACACAAATTTAACCAAAAGGTATGTCTGTTTACCTGAAAGCAAATAATTTTCTCAAAATGGAAGTACAAAAGCCAGATATTTATCTGGATGAATCAAGCTTTAAAATGGTATTACACTAATAATGCCCACCACATCAGTATCTCTCTCTCTCTCTCTCTCACACACACACACACACACAGAGCGAGCGCGCCTATTGAGTTTCTAGCACTGAGCTCCAACTTCTGATACATTTATGGCATGGAAACATGCTAGAGGTACCTTCATCATCTTCTTCAGAGGCCTTTTGAATTTCTTGCCCTTCTGTTGATTCTTGGGTCATGCTCAGCATTCTTTCTTTACCCTTTTTGTATTTTTGTTGCCTGGCTTTGATGCGGTCCATCCTAGAAAATGGGATATCATATTGAGTCCTTCACCCCTTTGGACCCACAGAGAAACATGACTTTTAAATATATATTACTTATATGTATACATACACACACGCGTGTGCGTGCACACACACACAGGAAATTCTGGATGGGATTTTAATAGATTCTCAAATGACTCTGCCATTTGCAAATAAGATCTCCATCCTACACAGATGTACATTAATCTCCCATTTAAAAAGCAGTTAAGGAGCCCTGGAGATGAGCTCTACGTGGCCCTGTGAGATAGACCAGAATTGAATCCGAGCCCCAGTGTCTCACTCCAGAGGCTGGCAGGGTGTGAGAGTGCTGTGCAGACAGAGCACTCAGCCTGGAGACTGGGAGTGCCTTGTGTCACATGGCTGCCCTAGCTGATTTGCTCTAAGTGCTCAACTTATTTCAGGAGGGAAAATGTGGAACAGTAAGTTGGAACATACATACTCACATTTTCCTCAGTTCAAGCAAATGGCCATTTTACTCCATGTTTATAGTATAAAAATTCAGGCTCAGTCCTGCCAGTCAGGCCTAGTCCTGCACTGGGGGCTATACTGCTGTAGAAGGAGCTCTGGGGGAAAAGCTGCCTCATGCAGAATTTCTTTGGAAGACTCCCACAACTCAGCAGGAGTGTGCACGGTATTACACCCCTTCAAGGGGTGCAGCGTCCTTCCTCCTATGCACTTGTGGCTATGGCCCTAACTCCGTTGGGACTTCAGTTTTGTTCAAATGTAGCATGAGGTGCAGGGACTGGGGGTTGGAGATTTCTTATGCCCTCCTTCCTCTGAGCCTGAGGAGCCATCTCCACGATCTGGTGCTCAGTAAGAGACTGATCCAAAAGCCACTGAAGTCAAGGGGAGTTTTTTGATTCACTTCAATAGGGTTTGCATCAGACCCTTAAGTACCCAATTTTTGCAATAAACAAACAATTTTTTGAACAACTTGTTTAGACTCATCAGGGTCAAAAATTCTAGTAACTAAAAAGTGTCAACATAATTTTCTGTTGATGGATCTGACCATTCGTTAGAAACAAATTATATTCTAGGTCTCTAACTACACTATAGTACATATTCAGTTATATATTTGTACTATAATCCAATGGATGATCAGATTTCTCTTTTTTCCTTGTGTTCAACTACGGCTGGAATTTCTCTGTCAATCAAACTGGTACAGTTGTTTTTTATTTCCCCGCTGTGTAGGCAGCTCTCGATAGTCTATTGATGTGTATTATTGAATAAAATCAAACAAAGCACTCTTTGGCTTTGTTTTTGTTGAAATCAGATTTACTGCAAACCCAAAACAATGATTTTTGAATACAGTACATTGGATTTTTGTTTGTTTGTGTTTTTAAGTAACATGATCACCTTGACCTCAAACATGTCTATGAAGAATTAAAACAATGATGACGTCCCGCACAGGCATATCAATTTTTTACACTTAGGATGAAATTCACCCAAATGCATAGCAGCACCATCTACAGCACTTATACACCAAAGAAAAGATTTACATGAAGAGAATGGCTCCAGAGGAAAGCTTTGTAATGACTTCAGTTAGGCAGGTGTGGACTTGACTGTTGGTAGTGGGTCAGGTGAAGGGTAACTGGATGGATGTTTAGGCATGTGAGTAGCAGATAGATAGGACTTTTAGCACTTAGGGAGGCACTGAAGGCAGATGGGGAAATGAGACAAGAACATTAGCAAGATGTGATAGAAGCTGAGTGGCTGGGTTGGCTTTCTGGTTCTCCAGACCAGTCTGAGTGAAAGAAAATATTTTCAATCAAGATAAAACAGATTCTCATCCTGGGCAAAAGAAGCACAAACTAAACGAAAGAACCTACACACAACAAAGGTCATTATGAATAAAGACACAAGAGGTGAAATCCTGATCATATTGAAGTCAGTGGGGGTTTTGCCATTCACTACCCAGCTCAGATCCACAGCTTTGCTGACTAACCCCACTGCTACTGAAGTTTTTGTTTTTTATTCTGTTTCCTGTATTTCAAGGTGCCACTTGGTAACCTGTGCCTCCAGCAGGATTTGGTTAATCTGGCTCTCCAAGTATCAGAGGGGTAGCCGTGTTAGTCTGAATCTGTAAAAAGCAACAGAGGGTCCTGTGGCACCTTTAAGACTAACAGAAGTATTGGGAGCATAAGCTTTCATGGGTAAGAACCTCACTTCTTCAGATGCAAGTAATGGAAATTTCCAGAGGCAGGTATAAATCAGTATGGAGATAACGAGATTAGTTCAATCAGGGAGGGTGAGGTGCTGCTAGCAGTTGAGGTGTGAACACCAAGGGAGGGGAGACTGCTTCTGTAGTTGGATAGCCATTCACAGTCTTTGTTTAATCCTGATCTGATGGTGTCAAATTTGCAAATGAACTGGAGCTCAGCAGTTTCTCTTTGGAGTCTGGTCCTGAAGTTTTTTTTGCTGTAAGATGGCTACCTTTACATTTGCCACATTGCTAAAATGATAAGCAATGAAATAGTTAACAATTTTGGCATTTAACTTATCATCCTTATATTTCAAAGGTAAAAAAACCCACCTTGAAACTAGTGGGGAGGTTCACACTTTCTGTTTTTATTTACAGTAAAGGGCTATTTATAGTATATTTTTAGGCTTTCTACAGACTAAGGAAGTCAATATTGCATTGGTTTACATTTTGTTCACATTTTAAAGGTTATTTGCACAACCATTAGTTATAGAAAGACAATTTTATTTTAAAATGAAAACGTAGATCCTTTGGGCTAATTGTGTAGCAAAGGGTGGATTCTGCAGCCACAGAATAGTGGAATACGTGAAGGCTCTCAATTTACAGAATATAATTTCTATAATCAAGAAATTATATTTCAAAAAAACCAAACAAAGCATATTATTGCACTTGTTTGGTTGTGTGCAATAATATGCAGAGAAATAGGAAAGGCTGCTTTAGAAGACTAGAAGAATGCAAAAGAAATACCACTTCAGGCTCCCAGAAAAGGGTTAATATGCTGTAGAGTAGAAGTAACCAGTGAAATAAATATAATAAATAATAATCCATACTGTCTCTTCAATTGATCCATTGATTTTTTCTCTTCTTCAATTCTTGCCTTTACTGCCTTGACAATTGTGGCCTGGAAAAGTTCAGCGCCTCTACAGAAGAAATAGGGGGAAAATGTAACACTATTATGCTTCTACATTCCCTTTAGGGCAAGTAAAACACAGAGAGAAGCTTACTTTATAAACAACTTAAATAGTCTGAGACAAAACACTATCATCAGAAGGCCAGTACAGAAATGATGAGCAATCACAGCATAATAATTCAGTTGTTTTCCAGCAACCATTACCAAATCCTACAGTCACTACTCAACCATTTAGTTACAGCAGTCATTATCCAGGTGCTTGGGTTCACTGTCCTCAAGGACTCAAAGTCATAGCCTGAGTGAGAATTCCTTGCACAACTGCAGAATTTGATCCTTTACTTGTAAACTATGGCATACATTAAATCCTCTTGTCTAGCATGGGGAGCTCCGCCTTTGAGTGGGTGGAGTTCTGCCTGCCTAGGCTTCAGTGAGCACAGCACGTGCTTCATACTCACAACACAAAATGCAAATGCCTATGATTCGTCAAATGAGTATGTGTTCCACCTCCAATCTGGAGGCATACTTGAACCTCAGTTAGTTAGTTAGGGAGTAACAAAATGGCTAGAGTTAATTTACAATCCACAAGTGTGTATTAGTTTAAACAATTTCTTGACGCATATCACCAGTATTTTGCACTTGCCTATGGTGAATTTTATCTGCCATTGTGTTGCTCAGTTGCTTAGCTTTGCTCTCATGAGGGACTTTATGAAGGGTATTTTGAAAGTCAAAATAAATTGTGTTTATTGTACCTCCTTTTGTTGTTGTTGACTCTCTCAGAGAGTTTTAGTGCACTAGAGGCCTTTATAAAAGCCATGCTTGTTTGTCAACACTGCAGTGTGAAGACATGTCGAGGTTTCGTAAGTCCATTTTAATTAATTTTTTAACCAGTTTATCTGGTACTGAAATGAGCCTCATTTATATGTAATTCCCAGGATAACCACATGCACTTTTTAAAAAATAGGTACAATACTCGCATACCGTGTCAGTTCTGTAGTACAGTAGATTATTTTAATAGGAAGTGCATATTGTTCGTAACAACTCAACCACTTCATTTTTAAATGCCTAGACTCTTGGATGAATACCATCTGGCTTCAGAGACATATTGCAATTGTCCTACTGACAATTTAATCTTCTCTGGGTCAGGATTGTATGTTTCATAATGTTAACTGTGACCTAAAGATGGCCTCGGGTCATAAAGTTTGGATCCAAATCTAAACTTCCCCAAAGTTCAAGAATGTTTAGATCTCAGATTTTAGTGATGCAAGTGCGCAGCTCTGAAGTTCAGCTCTATCTAACAATGTATATGGCCCTCATCACCGTAATATCTCAATGCCTCACAATTATTTATAGATTTTATCCCAATGACATCCCTGTGACATAGGGAAGTATTATCCTCATTTTTACAGCTGAGGAATTAAAGCATTAGTTAGATTAAGTGACTTGCCCAAGGCTACACAGGCAGAAGCGTGAACTGACAATATCTCCCTATGCACTAGACCAGGGGCGGGCAAACTTTTTGGGCCGAGGGCCACACCTGGGTGAGGAAATTGTATGCAGGGCCGGGGCAGGGGGTTGGGGTGTGGGAGGGAGTGCGAGGTGTATGAGGGGGCTGAGGGCAGGAGGTTGGGGTGCAGAAGGGGTGTGGAGTGCAGGAGGGGGCTCAGGGCAGGGTGCCACAGGGGGCTCATGGCAGGGGGTTGGCTGTACGAGGGGGCTCAGGGCAGGGTGCCACAGGGGGCTCATGGCAGGGGGTTGGCTGTACGAGGGGGCTCAGGGCAGGGAGTTGGGGTGCAGGAAGGGTGCGGGGTGGCAGTGGCACACACCAGGGCCAGGGCAGGCTCCCTGCATGCCTGCCCTGTCCCTGTCCCCAGCCCCAGCCCCAGTCCCGTGCCACTCCAGGAAGCGCTGCAGCCCCTGGGGGCGGGAGGGTGGAGGCCTCCGCATGCGCTGTCCTTGCCACACCTCCAGGTACCTCCCCCGAAGCTCCCATTGGCCACAGTTCCCCATTCCCAGCCAATGGGAGCTGTGGGGGTGGTGCCTGGAGGCAAGAGCCCGGGGGCCGCAGGGACATTGAGCCGGCCTCTGCTGAGAGCAGCACGGGGTTCGCGGCACCACGGGGAGCAATCCCGCGGGCTGGATCCAAAACCCTGAGGGGTCGGATCCAGCCCGTGGGCCATAGTTTGCCCACCCCTGCACTAGACCATCCTGTCTAGTATTAGTAAACCATCCTCCATTTAAACATTTCCAACTTGGGGAGGATGTTATTGTCCAAGCTTTTGGTTTGAGCTAGCTTTACTCTAAACATACACTGCATGATTATATCTTAGCTTGGGTGAGCTGTATGAGAAAGGGAAAAGGTCACAGAGACAGCTACAAAATGAAGCACAAGCAGCCTTGGGCACATTCAGTAAAATCCATCGAAGTGCAGAAAGCAGAGAGACCTATAGCATCTGATTCAGAGGCCTTTTGCTGGCTTTTCCTTCATGGGTAGCCAATATGAGCAGCCAGACAGAATTCCCCCTTTAGAGGAAGAAATGTGTTTGCAATTTTTATTTGGTATCGATTGTGGAATAGTCAAACTTATGTCAAAGTGTCTGGAGCTTGGGTTTGTCAGCCACTTTATTGGCAATACTCAATATAAATAATAATAAAAACATACCTAATAATGAAGGATTTGGGTTTAATCAGTTTCCGTTATTACACTGAATGTTACCTTGATGCCAGGATCTGTGAAGCTTTTATATCAGCAACCACATGTAGGAAGTAGTAGCTCATGAAGACTCTTCTTTGCAGCAGCAGGAAAGCAAAGCATATACTGTCCCAAATAATTCCCGCCTCACCGCTAGGCAGTTTACAGTCTCCAGTTTCTTTAGCTTATAAAAACAAACAGAAATCACCAACATAAGGATGATCATCTTCTTAAATATGTGAGCACATCTCCATCCTGCCCAATGGAAATAAGCCAGTGTTCTGAAAAGCCTTTTTGGGCCTGAAAATTGTTTTTCTTAAGAGAACTGAAATGTACAATTCCATCTGATGGATGCTGTATTTTATTTTTTTATATAAGGAGTTACTTTTTGGATATCACAGAACTAAACCTAGGCTTTGTGGACCCAGAGTGTAAATTCCACCTGCAAAGTTAGCTGGCCTTGGGGAAGCTGGACAGTACTCTGGCGTTAGAGGATGGGGAGTGCAGCCTGTGCATCAGAGCTGGCTTGCTCTAAAATCAGAGAAGCCAGCCTACTAGGTTTTGAAGTCCATGCTCCAAGTTGGAGTTTCAAAGCTTGTTGCATGAACCATCTTGATTTTTGCAAGCTCCAGAGAGGTTTCTGTTGCCACTCAAAACTTTTGCATAAGCAGGGCTGCATTGTATGTAATTTTATTTGGTGAACTGCCTTTGCATATCCTTTTCCTATTTAGATCAGAAAAAACAAACAAACAAAATTTGAAACAGAAAACAACAACTTTGCAGCAGAATTCCTAGGCAGGACACAGGTTTAGCCATTAAAATTTCATAGAATTCTATGTTCTACTGTTTTACAGTAGAAACCATTAAAAAAAAATCAACATTTGCAAACCACTAGGCACAGACATTACAGGTAAATCTGTGATATGTTATCAGTATTTGTTATCTTTTGCCAAATACTGATTTTAAAAAAAGTTATCACTGTATATACAGTAGATAGCACTCAGTTTTATGCAGTATTTTCAGTATTTGATCATGTTAGTCTATTTATCTCCTAGACCATACCTAATTTAGTTCACATTATATATATTTTTTATCAAGATATCAAATCAGTAAAGGGAAAAATACATTTGTCTGAAATTTTGAAAGGAGCCTAAAAGTAGTTAACCTTTATTTATAGAAAAGCATTGAAAAAAATCTAACTGCACTTACGTTGATGGTATCCTTTAACCGTACAAGCCAGGCTAAATGCTTGAATCAACCAGCAACTGTTTCGAATTAATGACTCAATGTAGCCACATGCTCCTATCTGAAAAGCAAATGAAGAGATATATAAAGATCAGAAACTAGTGATAAGAATAAAGAAGAACAGGAGGACTTGTGGCACCTTAGAGACTAACAAATTTATTAGAGCATAAGCTTTCGTGGACTACAGCCCACTTCTTCGGATGTTAGCACATCTGTTTATGTTACTGTCACAGTTCCAGGGTGGCTGCATCTGTATGTCCCTCTCTGTGTTCCATTCCACATGCTAAACATACTAGGAGTCACCAGTCAGTCTTAGGGGGCCTTAGTGGACCAAAGTCTTTTCAGCCTTTCCACAAGGATTGGGGCTCTCCTGGGACAGAAGGCCTCGTCCGTTTGCTGGATCAGAAAGAAGGTACTTCAAAAGCGCTTTCTTTGTCTGTTGGTCTCTGGAAACCCAGCTTGAACCTGTATATGCAAACCACTCCAGACGGTGGTACTTCTGTAAAGTTATTTAGACTCAGTGATTCACCTTTATCACCTACCATTGTTTTTAGTGCTTGGAGGAGCTGTGGTAACCCTCCTTCATGGAACAGAACACAATCATATATAAACCATTCATAGATTTAATACAATAGTCCCCAAAGTTATTTCATGGGGTTGCAATATCTGCCACAGTTACATAAAAATGTGACTGCTAACAGTTACACATCTGCATTATAAATAAAATGAAAGAGACTAAATAAAGAATATATTTCTTTGTCACGGAGATATGCCATTTAAAAAAATAAAAACTATTTCTGCCTTTTGTAGTGTGGGGTTTGGGGTTGGTTTGTTTTTTTAATACTCCCTTTGCTTTTTTGGTTAGGGCATGATACATTTGCAGTGTGACACAAGTTGACAGTTTAAACAACTGTTATAGATTGGTCACCTGATTCTGCAAGCATTTATGAACATACTTAACATTACACATCTGTAATCCCATTGAATGCACCTGCATAAAATTAAGCACATATGTAAGCATTTTAGAGTATTTGTAAAATCAGGTGACCAACAAATCAGTCTCATTTCAACATGCTGATTTATATATATTTAAAATGAAAAATGCTTGTTTTTTCTCAGTCCAGCAGTAAAAATGTTCAAAGGTAAGCTACAATTGCCAAAAATACATTTAAAGTTATCTTTTATAACATTTTAAATTATTGGCTTTTTTCAGCCTATCAAAGGCATCATAGAAGTGTTCTCTAACTAATGGTTTAACATTCATAAAAAGAACCTTAATATTTAAATAAAGCCTTAAAGAATTAAATATTGATGTTTTCAATCAAAACTTAGACCAGAATTAAAGGAAACTAGAAGCTGGTTTGCCATCTCTTGCATCAGGCTCCCATATTCTCAGTGTCAGAAACTACAACACTTAGCATGATGACTGCCCAATGGCTCCAAAATGCCAATTATAATTAAATACCATAATGACACAAACACTCTATTCATTGTAGACCTAACCTTGTAGTCCTTACAGACTTCTTACTCACACAAAGCTTCTACAGACTGCAAAGGAGAGCTTTCCCAAGTAAAGAATTCAGGATTTGGTTCTTTGAGAATTGCTTCTTACCTTGTAAACTTTCAGACAGTTGGATTGAGCAAAATAGGTACAAATTTTCTTATAATATATAAACCCATAGTAATTTTGGATACCACATTTGCAGTTTCTGAATGAAACACAGAAGACTCTTGCAGGCATTAGTACAATTTTGTGATGCTGAAAGGAACGTTTTATGACTGCTTAATGACTGCGCACTTTTGCAGTTAAACCACAAAAGCGTTCAGCACTGAAACTATAGATGCAGCCACTTACCGACAGTATGTTTTTCATTGTAATCACAAAGACGTTGTATGCAATCAGCCAGTCCCAATAACGTAGAATGCTTCTGATAGGTTTCAATAATAGATCACCACCAAAGAGCAGGAAATAGAAACAGGCCACCAAGTAACCCATACAAAATATGCTGATTCTTGTAGTTCCCGTGATGAAGATGATAGTAAGCACAAACCAGAAGAGGTAACTAAATATTATCACTTTATACATATCTAAGTAGGATCTGTAACAAGAAGACAGAAAAGAAGAAAAAAATTATTAAACTTTTTCTGGTCATCATTCTATACATTTTTGCCCACTACTGGCTTGACCCTACAAAGTGCAGAGCTCTCTGATCTTGACTTAGCAAAGCTCTTACAAACAAACCTGCTTAATTTCAATTCTAAAGCCAATGCAACTACTCCCATCATGTGCTTGATTCAAGCTTAAGTGCTTGACGCAACAGTGGCAGAGTGCTCAGCACCTTACTGGATCAAGTCCTTTATCATAAAAGGATGGAAAATACATTCTTCACAAACTTCATGATGCCGTGATTTATGTGACAATGTTATATGCATGTAAAAGACTGTTTGAGCTCATCGCTGAAGAAGTTTGGGTAACTGTTCAGCAAATCTATTTCTAAAACCCACCTGCATTACCTCATTGCAAACAATTCTATACTTATTGATGACTTCTAGGGAATTCAGTCCAGTGAGAGGCCCCATTTTCAAAGACAGCTGCTAAAAATATCTTTCTTCAATGCAGATCAACTGTAAGAGGTTTTGGGAGGGGTTTTCTGCAGAATGCCAGTGTGTTATAATTTACTGAAACCTTTGCTAAAACAGGACTATCTGAAATCCGTCTTGATTGGGAGAAAAGAGGAACAATTCAGTGTTTTCAGATTCTTCAAAAATCTTGACTTAATATTCACTTACAAGGAGAACAGAGACTACACATTAGAAAATGTGCAAAAGGCTGTAGGGAATAGTAGGTATAGCTAACCATTTCCAAACCAATGAATTTTTAGTTTCCCTCACTGGAATATTTTGCTTCCAGATGCACCACATGTTCAGAATCAGCTCACACAAGCTGTGAAACCTGCTGTTCCAGGGAACCATGCAGGGAGAGCATGACATGAACATTCACACCTTCTACACCACACTACCTAAGGAGTAAATGAGCCAACTGTACTGTAGACTGCCACGTCAAGAAACCCCTGCTTGAAAAGTCTCTGGCCTCACCAGAACTTTCTGGAGCTGTCTTGCTGGCCTATATTTATACATTCTCCCTACTTAAGTTGCACTCAGGGAGATACTTAACGATAGGTGACAAGAAGGTTCCTTTTTGTTTACTTCTTGTAAGCAATAGGACTATAGGGACTATCTAATTTCAGTCTAAATTGTATAGATGTCATTGGGCTTTGTGCGATAAAACACAAAACAACAAATTGTTTATAAGTCTTGCAGGAGAATAAGTAAATGGGGACCCCAATTGAACAGGTCTTCAGGGGCCCCTGGATGGTGACTGAAATGGCACTGTCTGTGCTTCTGCTGAAAAATGTACTGTTGTGTTGCTGTTCCTTTACATAATAATTATTGGTGGCATGCCTGGGAAGAGATCTGCTTCCTGACACCACTTTTATCATCCAATATTTGAGAAGCCTTGTCCCATTGGGCTTACATATTCTGCATCAGCATTTTTGAGAAAAGCTAAAGAGGAAAACACAACTGAAGCTGAAAATAAATCTTTCAAAAAGATCTAATCAAAAGCATTTTTCTATATTTTTGACAGACCTGGAAGCTATCAGCCTCAAGGGTTCTATCTGGACACAAACATCTCCAAAGTTCAAAAAAAAAAAAAGCCACGATCGCGATCGGGGGCAGCTCAACCGCGCCGCTTTCTTCTTCGGCGGCAATTCGGCGGCAGGTCCTTCCCTCCGAGAGGGACCCGCTGCCGAATTGCCGCTGAAGAGCCCGATGTGCTGCCCCTTCCCCTTGGCCGCCCCAAGCACCTGCTTGCTGGTGCCTGGAGCTGCCCTGATTCAGACAGAGGCTTGCAACAAATTTCAGTTCTGGAGCAAAACGTCTACACAGAGTTTGGGAGGTATTTGGATTAGGAGGCTGGCTTTGGAATAATCTCTTTTTAACATTTAAATTATGCATGGATTAAATAGACTATAACACAATATAAAGCACATATTACATACGCATATATGCTTTTTTCTCATTTTTAAACATGTAAAAAGTTCAATGCACCTTAATATTCTTACATCAAAGGAGGAGAAAAACAAGAGCTTGGTTGGGCGTGCAGACTCTGGGGTGAGGCCAGGGTTGAGGGATTTGGGGTGCAGGAAGGGGCTCTGGGTTTGGGGGGGCTCAGGGCTGGGGCAGGATATTGGGGCGCAGGCTTACCTCGGGCGGCTCCCGGTCAGCAGCGCAGTGGTGCTGCTAAGGGAGGCTTCCTGCCTGTCCTGGCACCGTGGACCGCACTGCGCCCTGGAAGCAGCATGGATGGCTCTGCGCAGCTCTCACCCAGAGGCACCTCCCCCTCCCCCCCAGCTCCCATTGGCCAGGAACTGCGGAGCTGGTGCTCGGGGCAGGGGCAGCACGCGGAGCCCTGTGGGCCCCCCACCTAGGAGCCGGACCTGCTGCTGGCTGCTTCCAGGGCACAGCGCGGTGTCAGAAGAGGTAGGGACTAGCCTGCCTTAGCCAGGCAGCGCCGCCGATAGGATTTTTAATGGTCCAGTTGGCGGTGCTGACCAGAGCCACCATGACCCAGTGCCTTGCATTCCACGACCCAGCACTGGATCACTACTCACAGTTTGAAAACCACTGATCTACACCCTAGGGGATTGTTATTTATGCCTATTAATGTTTAACAAGAGGGTCCAATATTGTCAAATCTGTTTTGAGGTGAAAAACAATAAGCTGCAAAAACTCTGATCTACGTTAAAATCTACTCCAGATAGTCTGAATGATTATGTGCTGTTGGTGCTTAGCTGCTGGCATCCTGGTGCCAAGACTTCTCAGCATAATGACACCAGTCAGCATCAATGTTACAGCCCCTTTCAAACAATAATGCTATTGCCCAATTAGTACTTTGGAGCTTCAAGCAAGGTTACCAGCTCTGTTGATAACTCAGCCAAAGGTTATGAGTCTATCATAAGAGTGGGTGGGAGAGGTTGTGTGTGACCTGTGATGCGCAAGGGGTCAGACTAGATGATCACAATGGTCCTTTCTGACCTCAGAGTCTATGATACACCAGCCAGACTCTTCTGCAACCACTAAGGACAGCCAAGATATTGGTGTCCTGTAGCAGTAACTGATGTCTCAATGCTCCTTCCCATATCACTCTCCTGCTTCCCGCTCTATCTTCTCAGCTCTCCCCACTCCATCTCTCTTGCTGTCCCTCACTCAGGTCACCCCCCTCCACACTATCTCTTTATGTTTCCTGACCAGTCTCTTGTTCCATAGCCACACTGGCCCTATTCTTATGCACCCCAATGTTTTCTTGCATCCCTGTCAATCTCCTTGTCTGCCTCCATATTGCTCTATCCCCCAGTCTTCTTCCTGAACCCCACATTCTCCTCCTTTTCCCTGCTGAACCCTGCATTCCCCTTCACTCTGCTGAATGCTGATTTATTGATTTTCCCTTTGCCTTTAGCTGTATTAGCACTTCTGAAAATAAGCTTTATTTTTTATTGTATTATCCATGTTTTCTTCCGTGATATGCCTGAAAATTAATTGGACCTAGTTCATAAGATCTCTTCAGGGCCTTTCCTACATCTCTTCTATCAGTACAGTAAGTTTCTTTTTTCTTGTCTCCACCTGCTTTAGACTATAAATCCAAAGTTGTACTGGTTGTTAAAACCCTTTTTATTAGCAACCAAATGTTTATTTCATGCAAGTCTGAGCTGAAGTCTGTAATGATGGTTTGCAGATCCTCTCTCATTAATCTAAGTCAGAATGTGTGTGGTTCCAAAGAATGCATTATATCTGCCTATGAGAGTGGTCTGCTGCTTCACCTGCTGTTGTCTCCTTGGTTGCAGGTGTTAGAGGGGCCAGCTCTGTGTTAGATGCTGGTATTAGATCCTGGTGTTAGGGGCTAAAAATATTTTCAGGTCTCCATATTTTTTTTCTGTCCATTTCTAGTTCTTGCACAGGAGTTCTTCTAAATTGGGATTTTCCCACATCACAAGCAGTGGGAACTGAGATCCTCCTGTAAAGCCATCTTGGCTTTGCCTCTAGAAAGTCCCTACTTTTTATTCTTTGGCTTTGTTTTGTTTTTTTAAATTTCTTCACTTGTGGTTTCCTGCAGGCTTAGTTGTGCATCCCCTGAGAAATCCGGGGGTGGAATGAAATGTGGACTTTCAGAAAATCTCTTCCTTCTGGTTCATTTGTCAATGTTGATCTCAAGTATTTTCCCAGAAACAGGAAAGTTAAGTGATCAGTTTGGGTTACGAGTTCTTTTTTCCGATTGTTCATACTGTAGTAAAAAACCTTTTAGCAATGCCTACTGGAACAGTTACTGTCAAGTGTCTCCTCGGGGGAGAAAAATCAGAAGAAAAACTTCAGATTGCTATGTAGGATTTCGGCTATGTGACACTTCATGGACAGCAATGAGAGATGTTTGACTAAAACCTCATATGCAATGCTTTGGAAATGTAAAGTGCCCCAACAGAGAGGACATGGGCCAAATTCAGCCCTGGTGTTAAGCAGGTGCGAGTCTCTAGTTACATAGGCACTCAAGTCAATATAGTTTTAATTTAGATTGTAAAATCTAATGTAAGTGCAAGCTCCTTGGGGCAGGGACTGTGTCTGCTATTTGTTCTATAAGGCAACTAACACATTTCTGGATTCAAGAAAATAAACACATACGGATAAATTGGGCATAATCTGGTCCCACACTTACAAAGTAAGGGAATTAAGGGAAAATTACTCAACAGTAATTCTCTTTTCCCTAGTCCTCTCTTCTTCCTTTCTAAACAGCAAATCCAATAACAGGAAGCCTGTGGCTTTACCAACCAGAAGCAAGAAGACAAAAGATCAGTCAAATCCAAGACTTCCAGAACAAAGACATATATAATAAGATCAAAGAAAAACTACACCAAGCAGCACTTCTTGAGAGGAGCAGGAGAGATGTGGCATGGGAAAAGAGGACTACACCAAGCAGCACTTCTTGAGAGGAGCAGGAGAGATGTGGCATGGGAAAAGAGGACTACACCAAGCAGCACTTCTTGAGGGG